CCAGAGTTTTACAGCAACCGTCCAACACAACCATGTGATTTCTGACTCGATCACTAGCACAGCTCGCATAGCTAATCAATATCTCATTGACTTTTTATTAAATTATTTAATTAGTTAAGAAATTGGCTGGTGGTGAAATTTAAATACACGGAACGGCTGAGGTGTCCCTGGGGAGAGGTTTGGGAACTGAAGCGGTGTCCATCTAGCCGTCCAACTAGATATCGGGAACATTTTGGAAGACAAAAGAAATTCTTGTTAGTTTTCATTGTGTTATTTTTAATTTGCGTATGTTCTAATGTTAAACTGTGTTTTTTGCTCTGGTGCACTTACTACCCAAAGAAATAGCTTTAAACATACCTTTTGACTGCCTAAGACTGCACAGTACTGTATATGTGTGTGTGTGTGTGTGTGTGTATGTGTGTATGTGTATGTAGAGCATAGAATACTTTTATTGTCACAAAATTTGGTATGCCACTCCAGAAAAAAATGGAAATTAATATATGGAGTAAATACAAAAAATATTTTAATATACATGCACTGAGAATTGTACAAGGATGAAACAGCCCGGATGAGGAGTACGGTGCCGGCAGGGTTAGGGTTAGGGTTACTGCGGTAACACTGCAGTAAGTCCGCAGTGAGAAACAGGTGAGAGAGCGTGACATTAGTGCAGAAAGCCAGTGCGACGCAAAGACGCGGCAGTATGACACGGACAGAACGGCAAGCCGGATTGATTATCGCTAGTTCAGCAGAGCTCTTGGGTAGAAACTGAGGTACAGCCCTGAATAGATCTGCTTAGTTGTCTACTTAGCTCTTTGTTTTTACACATTTGGAATCATAGGACATATCCATTGGGACTAAAACACATTTAGCCGTACCTGCTCCCATACATTGTTTGTATGAATCTGTCTCCTTAACCACTGCACCACCTACTGTCCTTACTGTGAAACCTCACGTACCGCTGTATCTGTCTGGCAGACGGCAACTAGGAACTCCAGGAAGGAGCCTGCTGTGGGCGGGGCCATGAAGAAGGGAAGTCCTCCCCCCCCAGCTGTCAAAGCAGGAGAAATCTGACCCCCCCATCTGTGTGCTCAAACCACATCTGACTCTGAGGTTTTTTCTTCTTTCAAAACAGCCACCATGTTAGCTGCGTGTCCAAGCTCGGAACCAACATAACATGAACCACAGGCCTGACGCTTTTTACCACAGAGCTTAATATTTGCAGTGATTTAAACCAAGGCCTCAAATTAAAATAAGTGTTGACAGTGTGAACAACTCATCTCTGCTCTGACGACTGTAAAACAATAGTTGCAGTGGTCTGCTAGCCACCAAGAGAGCAAACAGCGACCGTAATCCCTGTTCATTTCCTCAGCTTCGCAGTCTGCTTCTTCTCCAGCGATTTCCCGACGGCGCCCCGAAAGACGACTTTTGGAACCTGACTTGCTTACGGTAAAGGGAAACACGGCTGAGTCGGTGGGCAGGTTTGGCCGGTGCAATAAAAGGACAGTTCCTGTAGCTTGCAATTAAATACAGCTGAATATTCATTAGCCGGCATCCTGCCCAGGGTATTCCCTTGCCTCTTGCCCTGTGCAGCCTGGGATGCATGCCAGCCCCACCCTGCCATCTATCCCATCTATTCATGGATAAAAAATTCATTATAGCAGTTCAGATTATCTTGCTTAGGTTTACAAAAGGGAAAAAATGATCAGCTGGGATTTACACAGTCTTTCACTTTAACCATTGCACAAATACCGCCCCTAGTCTCCATCTAGTTCAAAGCATACTTATCTTTAAAAGGTTTTCTATATTAAATATTTACAGATTTACTGGTCATATGAATAGTGTTTGAATTATGCCAGGCGATCGAGGGGGTCCTTTCTCTCGTATTAAATGCCCTTTTCAAGCAGCAAATCTGGATTTGGTTTAACAGGTGGAAAGAACCCCCGTCCTCTTCATAAACCTTTAATCGTACATTCGCTCTGTTTAATATTATTAACAGTTCGCTAAATTTCTATATTTAATGTGGTTGTACGTACATAAACATGCAAGTTAGCGCTACCTAATAACACCTAATCAATCGTTCGTTATCGCGCGTATGCTGCCCTCTGTTGGTCACATCTTAATACTGCTGCAAAACGGCATGACACACCCGTCAACATTTTTAACCGAGACAAACTCAGCTTTTTAAACCAATTTCGTGTTGATTCCGTTCAGCATATTTAAAATGGATTTCACAAGTCTCTTCCTTCAAAACAAAATGTCTATTTTTATATGTTTTTCCTTTTGTATTGTCCATGAGCTGTTATGTAGGTTTGAAGAGTGCAAATGAGAACAAGTTTGTGGAAAAAATATATATATTTTTGAATTGCTCCTAAAATATGATGTGATCTTTCTCTATGTAATAATAGTAAATAAAGACAATCTTATTTAACAAATATTTTACATATCTCTAAAAAAAATGAAAAATTACGCGACTCTATAATGAGTACCTCATAATCAGAGTTAGGTGTTCAGTAAAATAAAGATTAGGTGTGATATATATATATATATATATATATATATACACACACACACACACACACACACACACACACACACACAGCGAGAGAGAGAGAGCCCTATGCAAAAATCCTGGGCAGTCAGAGAAAATGTTTAAATGATCTTCATGTTGGTGTAAAACTATGATATTGCCTGTCAAAGTGTGTCCGCTTAGCTGTTTCCAAACCTCTCCTAAAGTCACCACAGTATTTGCAGCGACTGTCCAGCACAGCCATGTATTTTTTGACTGGACCACTAGCTAACCATGTTGGGCTAATGAATACCTCATTGAGTTAACTAATTAAGTTGATTGACTAAAAGAGCTGCTGGGCGAAATTTAATGCATACATGGAATGGCTGAGGTGTCCCGAGGAGAGAGATTTGGAAACTGAAGCAGTGTGCATTTAGCTATCCAACGAGATCTTTTTGGAGAACACGGGAAATTCTTTTGACTTTTTTATTGTGTCATTCCTAATTTGCTTATGTTCTAATATTAAATTGTGTTTTTTTTTCTGAGCAAATATACACATACTACCCAAACACATGCGTTAAACATTTTCCTTGACTGTCTAAGTCTTTTGCACAATACCATACATAACAAATAAGCTAAGTTTACGATTCTTTACTACAGAACTCTGTTAAAGTGCAATTTGGCCTGATCAAGGGAGATTATAGAGGATCTCAGAAGAAGAATTGCTTTTGTCCAAAGCAACATACAAGGATCAGAGAGCAGGATTAGCCAATGTCCCTGGAAAAATTAGGGGTTAATGGCCTTGCTCAAGGGCCCAATGGTGACATCACTCTGCTGAACATGGGATTTGAACTGGTGACCTTTTGATCACAGTCCTAACCTGCAAGGCCACCCCCCACTGACCTCAATCACTCCCCAATCAACTAGATAAATTACAAATGGAAGTAATTCTACAGCAGAATGTCAAGGTGTCTGTGATCTAAAACTCTAAAGATGTTGGGTTATGCGCCATGACAGTGATACAAAAAGCAGGAGTAAATCAACCACAGAGTGGTTCAAACAGAATAAATTACATCCAAATGGGTACGACTGTAAGCCTCAGCAGGAAAAGTGGAAGATGAGGTGAAAACAGCCAAGTAAGAATCCTGACTTCAATTCCATAGAAATGTTGTGCTATGATCAAGCAAAACATTACAAAAAACATAAACCGAAACAGTTTTGTATAGAAGAATGGGCCAAAGTACATCCTGTCTGCTGTAGATATCAGGTCAACAGCTAAGGAAGGTGTCTGACAATAAAGTAGATTCCAGTATGACTGTTTAAATCATTTGCTCAATAATGATATCATAATGTGACACACCGTGTGACATTGTTAAATTATCATGACTTAAATTAAGACTGGGTCACAATTTATAATTACAAAAGGCTGACAAACTAATGCAACGAAACAGTAACAAATAATAAGTGCCACGTGGGGTGGTTCTTTTTCTCAAAATTTAAACCACATTGTTTTGTTCATAGTATTATTGCCGTTTATCCTTCTATGTAGTGGTTTGTGTTATATATGCAATAAACGTGGTCATATGGCTTTCAAAACAATATGCAAAACACACTTGATTGTACATAACCATCAACCCAAATACCGCCGACTGTTCGAACGCTGTTAGATTGTCGGAGATTGTCGATGACGTAATACGCAGAAACTGGTGACTAATGAGTGAAGGAAGCGCACAGCCACTCTTTCGAAATGATTGGTTAGAACAGTATGACGTACAGGACCTTTCATCCAATAATAATCAATATAGGCGTTCTATGACCCGCCGATCGGGAAAGGCATGTCCAATCAAACGCTGGCGACAAAAAAAAGTTTCTGGAGTGAAGCGACTCGCGTCTTCTCTCGCTTTGTCTGATTGATTATGGAGTTTATTAAGGCAGCCGGACAGCTTAGAATCCCCGGTGAGGCTGAGGAAGGGATTCTGATCGGCTTTAAGCGATACTCTGGGGTGCTGCTAACGCTCGATAACTGCCTCCTGCCGGACGAGCGGCTGTCGCGAAGCCCTTCGGCCGAACAGGGGCTGCCGATGGATGTGGAGGAGCAGCTGAGGAAACAGGGCTGCGAGCTCATCCAGGCCGCGGGGATCCTGCTCCGACTGCCGCAGGTTAGCACATACAAAAAAAAAGCGTGTTAGTAAATAGACCTGTGTTTGTACATCGAGCAGCAGCATTGTGCCTCAAAGATTCACTATAGGCCTTGATATTGACGTCAAGAAGATCGTAATATAGCGTCACTGTAAATTGGTACCTCGGGACTAACTTAATGCTCTGGTTCTCGTAACGCAGGTTGCCATGGCTACTGGGCAAATTCTGTTTCAGAGGTTTTTTTACTGCAAGTCCTTCATCAGGCACTGTGTGGAGGTATGACAGCTGTTGAGCACTTAGGGTCCGTCTCACTGATGGTGGGCTATCAACCTCCTACTGCGTTTGTTAATTTCTGTTGACCTCACGGTTTTATTGCCCCTCCTCCCCATTTCTGTCCTTTTCTGGCCGACCGCAGAACGTCGCCATGGCCTGCGTCCACCTGGCATCCAAAATCGAGGAGGAGCCCCGCAGGGTCCGGGATGTTATCAACGTCTTCCACCGGCTGAAGCAGGACCGGAAATGCGGGTGAGGGTGGATTGCTGGGGTCTAGCGGTTGGCGAATCTGAGGGGAGGGAAAACATGTAAATCACCTTGGATGAGAAGCTGTTTGGAAGTATGGGTGAGTCAGTCATGTGGTTCCTGTGATGAGCTGCCTGTCTCCTGCCCCCCCCCCCCCCCCCCCCCCCCCCCCCCCCCCCCCCCCCCCCCCCCCCCCCAGTGTGCCGGCACCCCTACCCTTGGACGGCAGCTATGTCAACATGAAGAACCAGGTGATCGTAGCTGAAAGGCGGGTGCTGAAAGAGCTGGGCTTCTGCGTACACGTCAAACACCCGCACAAGGTGGGACCCTGCTGGTGTTTTAGGAACCTCGACACCAATCTGGAAAACTGAGGGAGGAGGTGATGTGTCTGTGTGCTGTCAGGTAGTGGAAGTGCAGGTCCGACCGTGACACAGCCTCAGATATTTTGGTATCGAGGTGAGTGAAAGAACGACCCAAGGTCATGAAGTCCCCTGAACCACAGATTAAGGTGGTGTGAATCTGCAGGTTAGGAACCTGTACCTGTTTCTGGAAGGTCATCGGTTCGAGTCCTATGGCCAGCAGAGTAATCATTTTGCGTTTGGGCCTTTGGTTGTATGTTTCAGGCAGGAGGGTGGAGCTTCCTGCAGCCCCTGCTAGTCAAATTGATTAATACTAAAAAGTAGCTAAAAAGATTGTACACGCATATGCCTCAAGAGGCAGATACTGTTCTGTGAACTTACAAGCCCATGAGATTGAGAGGAATGTAAATGTCAAGAAAGCCGATATCAAAGGCGATCTGAACTTCTATGGGATGTTGTGTGGATATATGTGAACTCTTTGTAGTTCTCTTACAGTTCCTGCTGTGTGACCTCTGTCCTGTTCTGCAGATTATCGTGATGTACCTACAAGTGCTAGAGTGCGAGAAGAACACTCAGCTGGTGCAGACGGCATGGTGAGCATGACTGCGCCTTCTCTGTGTCTCTGACTGCGCCTTCTCTGTGTCTCTGACTGCGCCTTCTCTGTGTCTCTGACTGCGCCTTCTCTGTGTCTCTGACTGCGCCTTCTCTGTGCCTCCGCCTGCGCCTTCTGTGTCTCTGACTGCGCCTTCTGTGTCTCTGACTGCGCCTTCTCTGTGTCTGCGCCTTCTCTGTGCCTCCGCCTTCTCTGTGCCTCTGACCCCGTCCTCTCCTCATCAGGAACTACATGAATGACAGCCTGCGGACAGACGTATTCCTCAGGTTCAGCGCTGAGACGGTGGCTTGCGCCTGCATCTATCTGGCCGCCCGCTCTCTGCAGGTACCACCCACCCGGACTGGTTTTCTTTGGATGCCATGGGGGGTGACTGGGGGGCACGAAGCTCAATCCCCTCATTCCTGTGACCTCAGATCCCCCTGCCTGACAGCCCGCCCTGGTTCCTGCTGTTTGGAGCCACTGAGGAGGACCTGAAGGGGATCTGCTGCAGGGTGCTGCGGCTCTACCTGCTGCCATCTATGCCCCTGTCCGCCTTGCAGGGGCGTGTGGCCGAGTGCCGCCGGGCCCTGGATGCCACCCGTGCCAAGTCTGCCCTCACGGGACCCTTGTTGCTGGCCAACGGCACCCCCACCCTGGAGCCCCCCAGCAGCTTCTCCCCCGCCTCCAAACCTAGTGAGCCTCACAGCGACGGCCCCTCAGATGTGATCAGTGACAGGCACCATCAAACAACGCTAGCGTTATTAATAAACATTCGCTGGCCTGAAGCTCAGATTGCACCACTGAGGAGACTTGGCACATAGTAATGCAGCTCATACTGAAAAGCTGAGTTAATTTCATAAGCCCTGGTGGTTATTTCTGCAGCGGCTCTCAGTTCAGTCCTTTTTCCCTCCAGGTTCCCCTCACACAGTCAAACAGGTCAGTAGGGACTCGCCCCAGTCCCAGGCGGCTCTGAAAGACGCTCGCCGCAATCTCGCCAATGGGTAAGGGGTGCTGCTGTCTAATTTGGGGATACAGCTTCCTGCTGACACTGATGGAACTGGGTTCCATTCAAAACCACTGTATAGGTTGCCAGATTGATGTAACCTCCCCTCCAAGATGGGTTGCCAGTTTAGCGGTCTCTTACCTTGCAAAAGGGGTTTGTGGCTTTTGCCCTGTCATCCAAAATGTGGGATAAATGATCTGGATGTTTGAATTGCCTTTTCCAGTGTGTGTTGTTTAACTCGGGCCTCTGTTTCTCCGTGTCTCAGGAAAATCAGGTTGAGTCACAGTGACGAGAGGAGGGAGGTCCCACCCAAATCTCCATCACACAGCCCCAAACGCAGGTACGGAAGATCCGTCTGTAAATATCCTGCTGGGGCCAATGTGTCGGGGGGGGGGGGACAACAGAGCCTGACTCATTCAAACCTCCCCCATCTCCTCTCTACAGACGCAGCCGGAGTGTGGCTTCTCCCTCCCACTCGCTCTCCCCCATCCGACGCAAGAAGCAGCCCAGTGACTATCAGAGAGAGAGGGAGCGAGAGAGAGAGAGGGGGCGTCGGAGAGAGAGAGAGCGGGAGAGGGAGAGAGGACGGAAGGACAGAGTCTCCTCGCATCGGAGATAGCGTCGGACAGTAACGGACGAGGGGGGGGTACACACTGACCAAAAGAGCTGCCTGTTCCAATAATAGTTTTTCTATTTATTTTTTTTAGCTGAAAATTTGAATACATGTGAAATTTGATGCCTTACACAGCAGTTATTGCCGCTGCTCCTCCGTATCTAAGATTTCTCCTCCAGATATGATGACCAGGGTAGGTTAAAGATCTGGCCCCATTTTTCTAAGTCGTTGCTTATTTATTATCGTTATTTTGAATCGACCTTGGACTGTGACACAAAGGGCGATGGGGGTTAAACAGTTTTGAACTACTGAGTCTTTGATTTACAGTTAGCCGTCATTTCTCAACCAGGGACGTCGACGTGAAGCATCCCTGAATCACTGGCTGCTTAGGAAGAGATGCTGTTTATGTTGAACGATTTGTAAGTTTGTCTGGGGGTGCGGTTTGGTGCTAGTGTCCCGGAGGATGCAGGTTCAGAATCCAGGCAGCGTATGAGCTTGGCCCCCCTGTATCTTGGCCTCACTTACAAAAGTAGTTACCCTGATGTATAAATAAAACTTGGAGCAATAAAAGTCACCTTGGCTGAAAGTCAGGTCATTGGAAGTAGGATTCATCGCCATGAAAAGGATGAATGAGTCTTGCCTTCACCATTCTCTCATTGTACAGATCTCTATTTTTATCCCAGAATTTTAAAATTCTTTAAATAAAGAGCCTATTTTTTTTTAAGAAATTGTGTTTTATCTCCTTGTTGTGAGAAATTTCTGAATATCTAAAGCACACATGGAGTTAGATGTGAAGTGTCAGTAGTCGATATTCCGTTCTTTTCCGTTAATCGAACTTGAGGTCTTCTGAAGATCGTGTAACCTTCCCTTGCTTATTTGACATAAGGTCACAATGACCTTGAGGTCTTTCCTGGGAAGCAAAGGGCACCAGATACAGTACAATCTGGATGGGATGCTAGTCCATCCGAGAGAACAGTGACACCCACATCCTCTTGGGGCGTGAGGGTGTGGTTCTGCTGTTGCCGCGGTACCCATCGTGTTGGTGGTGGCGTGGTATGCAATTATGTTCTGCAATGTATTCCTCAAACCTGTACTTTATATTGTGAATATCTTTACTTAGACTACAATGTCCTAAAATTAGAAAATGTTTAGGCTGTGAAATGACAGGTTTTTCAGTTTCATTTAGTGGGTCAAAATGATTTTTTTGGTAAAGCCTGTATTTCTGCTGATCTAAAATTATGAACAATTGAAGCAATGATATTTTTTGACTATTATAAGTATGAACTTTAAATCATTCGCTTTTTTTCCCCATCTGTCTGAGCTGCTCAAAGAGTGACAAAGCTATACTGATCATTTAAATGTTTTATCCCGTTCGTCCAAAACCTTTGAGTAAATATCCAGCTTTTTGGAGCATCAGGGCTGCTTTTAAATTTAGCTTCAGCAGATGGGAGTTCAGTGGGGGGCACTGTTGCCTCACACCCCCAGAGCTGAGGCTGGCATCCCAGTGCCGCGCTCTGTGTCGGACGTCTGCCTGCTCTCCCTGTGTCCAGCTGATTTCTTCTCAAGACTGGATTCCTTCCACAGTCCAAAGACCTGTAGTTAGGCCAACTGGTGTCTCCGAACTGCCCGTTCCGAGTAAATGTGCCCAGTGATGGACTGGCATCACGCCCAGGATGTGCTCTGTGCTGCTGGGACAGGCTCCAGGCCTCATGCGACCCAGTCCAGGATAAGCGCTTAGAAAATGGATGATTAGTTTTATCAAACGGTGAATCTGACATTTTCTACATTTTGTTGCCCCACACCCACCTCTGTTAGTAATGATGACCCTTATTGCGTTTTAATCGCCATGGAGTAGAAGTGCTACTCCCAGTGCTAAGTGATTATGCCTCTAACGAGGTGTGACACAATTAACCCGGTGCACTCGTCCCATTTGCCTTCGTAATGTGCCTGTTCAGATCTCTGCAGGGGCACCGCTCCTGGTTTAACTGCTCTCATGTGCCTGCTGTAACCCGTTGCCCTCCCGTGCCCTGAATGAAGGAAGGGGCACCTCCCAATGCCTACCAGATAGGCAACAGGCCAGATGATCTTGTTGATGATTCGCATCACTGCTGCTGGGAGGGGCAGGCGGATCTGGGTGAGGCAGCTGAGTGCAGCATAAAGGCTGCACCGTGCATCTCGTCTGGACCTTCTAGAGTCTCATTGCTTGCCTGGCTGGTACCTGGAATTAGGAGAAAGCTTTCATCCAGTTCAGCGGCAGCGGTTATAGAACACAGAGAACAGGAAGTTTCAGAGAGAAGGAGATAGCAAGAGAAAGAGTTTGGAAGACATAGGGACGTTCTAGGGAGTCGAGAGAGGGGAAGGAACAGCAGCGTTGCATGAATGTTACAGTACAGTCATAAGTACTAGGAGGTACCAGAACTCGGGGACATTAAGGCAGAAGGGCCCTAAAACGCAGGTAGAACAGAAGAACGGGGCCCTGCAGCTGGAGGAAGCGTAAATGGGAGCTGTATCCCCCATCCAGGCGGCGCTCTACACCATCATGGTGATCTTCGGCATTCTGGGAAACGGCCTAGTGATCGGGGTGGTCGGGGAGAGCGTGCTGCGGGACAGCGGCCGGGGAGCCAGCTCCGATATCATCTTGGTCAACATGGCGCTGTCCAACCTGCTGGTGTCCTTGGTGAGGAACGTACCGCTGATGCTGGCCGACTCGGGACTCCAGGTAGGCAGACCTTCAGATAGCGAGAGAGTCAAAGGGCAGAGGAGCTTTTCTCCGACGCCTCCCATCCTTCCTGCTGTAGAAAATGCTTTTATCGCTCAGTCGAACAACACAGGGTTCATTATTTCGCAGGGACCACAGCTATACGTCTTAGGCCACTGCAGATTTTCGATGTGTGTTCATGGAAGTGAAGGTACTTTTATGTGAGCTTTTGGTGAGTCCTTGAGACAAAATGCTTGCAAAATTTCTGTTAACTCAATTCTTATGATTTTGAAGATTTGAACTTAGGGTAAATGATTGTGTACTTGGAAATGAACCCAGTAACTTAAAGATCTAATTAATCTTGACTCTTTTAAAAGACATTTTACACAGTTTAATCTGTGTTGTGCTTTTCATTGTATTAATAAACCCATCTGAACGCGTATGTTGCCTGCAGTTTGCAATGTGCATGTGCAGCTCTCTTACTTCCAAATTATTTAATTTCCTTCCACAGTCTAAAGACATGGCGTAAGATTCTAAATTCTTGTGTATATGGTTGCCCTGTCAATGAATGTTACATTTATATAGAACTTTATTGAACCAATGGGGAGCCACTCCAGCCACCCCCACTGTGCAGCCCCCACCTGGATGATGCCAGTCAGCCATCCTGCACCAGTACGCTCACCACACAGTAGCTAAGGTGGTGAAGGGGCAGGAGAGAATTCACCAGTTAGATATAGGGGATGATTAGGGGGTCGGATTTGAAAGGGCCACAGTGGACAATTTTAGCCAGGAAATCAGGGTTCCCCCCCTACTCTTTCGAAAGATACCCCGGGATATTTTATGACCTCAGAGAGTCAGAACCTCAGTTTTTACATCTCATCCGAAGGACGGTACCATTTTTATTCATTCGTTCATTAAATTTGTATAGCGCATTTCACAACATTACATTGTCTCAAAGCGCTTTACATTATCCCTGCCCAAAGCCCCCAATGAGCAAGCCAGAGGCGACAGTGACAAGGAAAAACTCCATAGAAGGTAGAAACCTGGGGAAGAACCAGACCCAAAGGGGGAGCCCGTCCTCCAGGGGGCAGCAGAGGAAGCCCTAACCCTAACCAGACCCAAAGGGGCAGCCCGTCCTCCAGGGGGCAGCAGAGGAAGCCCTAACCCTAACCAGACCCAAAGGGGGAGCCCGTCCTCCAGGGGGCAGCAGAGGAAGCCCTAACCCTAACCAGACCCAAAGGGGGAGCCCGTCCTCCAGGGGGCAGCAGAGGAAAAAAGGGCGAGCAGGCCGTAAAGACGCCACAGGTAGTGGAGGAGTAGGGGGAATGAAATGTGCAATTAGCCAAAGTAGGGGAGACTAGAGGCAGTGCAGTTTGTAAGCTCTGGCAGATAAGGCTGCAGCAGCATAAGTAGGAGGGAGAGGCAGGTAGGAATGCAGGCATGGGGAGTCCCTGAATGTCGGCACTCCAATTCCACGAGGGGGTGTGAAGCTAGAGTGACAGCACTGACAGCTCAGTTCACCCAAAGCCAATAGCACCGATCCCCACCCAGCTCTACGCCTCACACTGTAGGCCTAACTGGGAGTGAGCAGTTGGCTAGAGCTAGAACTAGAGTCCTTAGTCTAGACTTGCCACATCACTGCACTAGGGCACTAGGATCCATGCAGACCACAGGATGAATTGACCTGTTGGCCACTTCAATACCTCTTCCTTAGGGTGTTAAAGGGGGTCAACCAGATAAGAGGAAACAATATCCTCTGTTTGTGGCAACTACTTGGATTTTAGATTTCTGTGATGGGCCCCAACCCTATTAAACTTGTGGTCCTATGGTCTTCTCTCGTCCTTCCTCCTCTAGCTCTATTTATCCATGGAGTGGTGTCGTCTCTTCATGTGCGTGTGGGTGTGGCTCCGTGCCGCCAACGTGTGGTCAACGTTTTTCCTGAGCGCGTTCCACCACCACACGCTTCACCGCCTGGGGCCCCGTCAGACCGGCCCCCGGGGGCCCCCGGGACCTCTGCTGCTGGGCATCGGCCTTATTTGGGCCCTAAACCTGCTCTACTCTGTTCCCGCTTACATCTACTCCAAGAGGGGAGACAAAAACAGCACTGAGGTGGGTGTGTGTGTCAGTCACGTCACAGGGAATACCATCACCCAACTGGAATTTTCCTCATGACTGGGAAATTCCAGAAAGGCTTCCTTCTGTCTTGGAAAAGTGGTGTGACAATTAAGAAATGGGTTTTATGGCTTACAGGTTTGAGGGTCAATTATCAGGAGACTGACTTTCTGTCTACCTTTGACTCTATGTGTGTGTAATATAGGATTCTGAAGTCATATTTATAGTATAGAGACGCTCCTGGGTTGCGATATTTCGACTTTGAAAAACATTTATGCGTCGTACTTTCAGTACATGATTCAATAAATTAAATGAGATAATCAGCACTTTTTAATATAAATTAGGCTTTATTTTAATGATTTTGCCCAACTATAGACTAATGTAAGTGTTTGAGGTAGGCTAGGCTAGGCTGTGATGTTTGTTAGGTTAGGTGTACTGTATTAAAATGCATTTTCACCTTTTGATAGAATTGTCAGAACGTAACCCCATCATGACCTGGGGAGAGGCTGTATTTGTATTTATACTGCAACAATGTTGCTATGTGTGCACATCTATACTTAATGTAAACATTATTTATGTGCATATATTTGGGAGTGCCCTGTGATAGGTCGGCGCCCCATCCTGGGGTGTTCCCTCCCTCTGGGATAGGCTCTGGACCCCCCACAACCCTCAATAGGATAAATGGTTACAGCAAATGGATGGATGGATATATTTGGAAATATAACTCTAATCAGTATTTAAACTTGCACATCTAGTTGTACTTGTGCATATTGCACATTTTGTAAATACTGATTCACTGAATCTACTGTATTGATAAGCGCTATCGCTCATATTTAAATATATATATATATATATATATATATAATTTTATTTTTCTTGAATAATGTCCAATCATGTTTGTGAATGCATGTGCCAGTAGTACTAAAACGACTAATTCCTGGTAGATGCAGGTATACCTGGGCATTAAAGTGAATTCTGGTTCTGATTCTGATTATTTCCTCTCCTTTCACCAGATGTTAATGATGGTCAGCACCACCACACGCCCCCTACTGGGCTGCATGTGGAACTTCCCGGATCCATACCGGGGTCTGATTTACTCTACCGTCTCTCTGCTGATCCATGAGATACTTCCTATCGTTCTGATGTCCGTCACAAACGTGAGCACTCTCTACAAGCTGTATGGACACGGGCGCAGGCGTTTGGGAGGGAATGCCGTGGAGGACGCCCTGGGGGCGCGCAGGATCCCTGCCGAGAGGAGGGCAGCCAAGGTAAGGGGGGGGGCTCACAATAAATGACGAGACCGTTTCATTTCCACCAGGCCTGTATCTCAGCCCCGTTCTCCCCTCTCCCCCGGTCACCCTCTCGCCCCCCCCAGGTCATCATGGCTCTAATCATTCTCTTCACCTTGTCCTGGGGCACCAGCATCATCTCAAACAACAACATCAACTTCAACGGTGGCCAGTCGGCGGACGCCCTCCGGGTGGTTGCCCGTTTCGCCAACTCGGCCTTCATCGCCCTCTCGCCCGTGGTGCTGACCTTTGGCCATCGCCGTATGCGGGCTGTGGTGAAGGCCATGCTGTCCCCATGACCTCCCCAGGGCCTCGCATGACCTCCCCAGGGCCTCGCAGGACCTCCCTCGTGGATAGACATGTACTGCTGCTCATGACATCTGATCATTGGATGCTTCCCTGTTATAACCAACTTGTTACAGCCAATCAGAATAAGACCTTACATGTTTCACTCTCTGCCTACTGTTGGTGAAACACACCGAATTACTCATGGATATGGGTTTAGTAGGTGTGTTGGATTTTAATGGTCTTACGACAAATGAAATAATCCATGCAGAGAGAGACTGGGCCCCAGTAAGGCTCCATTTTCTCATGCCAGTCGTCTGCTAAGCTGCTTGAATCTGACCAAAGATGTGTTGCTCCTCTGTGGTGATGTAGGTTACTGCAGTTTGTCCTTGGCAACATGACACCGTGTGCCCTTTGATGGACTGGCATCCC